TCTAACCTACCCATTTAATACTACCTTAACTTTGAAATAGTGACCAAATAAGACATAAGAAATTGACATATAATTCTAATGTTGTGTTCCTGAAGGAGATTTTGAGTATTCTATATTTGAGTGACATTTTCAAAGAGTTGACAATAAACTTAGCATGTCAGCCTAAAGAAAAACAATTAATGTTTATTGCTGTGAAGTAAATTGTGCTATGCTTCACTTTATTTTAGAGAATCCACATTTTATTTAACTCTATAATTTCCATTTCAGTGTGTTTTAATTATCCTTTGCTCAAACATTTAGAAGAATAAGGTAACATGAAAACACAGTTTATCTGGTTTTTTTTCATGTCTCTGGTCACAGCCTCTTAATCAAATTTGCTTACCATAGCCAAACAAATATGATAATCACAAGTGGCTTACCCTGGACTTGAAATTGTCTTTTAGAATTCAGTGCTTTTCTCTTTTTGAGAGACCTCCTCTGGTTTTTCTCACTGAGGTCTCTTCTCAAGATTAGTAAGGTGGCAGCATCCTGTCAGATGCTGTCCAAAACATGAATTCCTAACAAAATATTTTATTTTCCATTATGGTTGCACTGTATAACCTATTTTGAGCTGTCACCAGAAGAACTGAATTGGAATGTCCTGAAGGTAAAAATCTGTTCAAATGCTAGCCAAGGCTATTTGTTCATCACACATGCTATCGGGAGCTCCTCTGACTAATAGTTTTCCATAATACACCATCTGGAGATTTCTACCATCCTGAAGCATCTCCCTGCAGAGTAATCTTAGCTGCAAACTCCCAAAGGTGATACTTGCCTGGTCCCGCAAAACCGCAATTAACACACTCTATGAGCCATCTGCAATTCTACTGGGACAAACAGCCAAGGTGTCTCCCAGAATTCAAAGCTGCTTCACCTGCCCTTCAAATTGCTGTCAACTGTTTCTCAAAGTGTATAAGGCCTCACATTTAAGCCCATCCTTCATCAATAGTCTTTAGAGAATAGCTCATCTGCATTAGTTTTCATGGTGGAAACAAATGCAGGCTTCCACAATCACATTGACAGATAACAGCTGCCATCTACTGCACACCAAACACACCACTGAACTGATTGTGTGCTTTTGTTCCCCTCCTGGTAGTAGAGGAGGAACTATTCAAAGAAGGAGCTATTCTCAGAGAGGAAGTCACCTGCTTTTCCAGGTAACTGTTGACAATGACTGCCCTAGGCTAATTTTAAGCTTCTGCCCTACTATTCACAACCCGAGATCATTTTTGCCCTCTTCTAGTACTTGACTTATATCCTTTGCTGCATTCTGTTTTTGAAATATCTCTGCTCCTTTTCATGAAGAAAAATATCATAAAATCAAAGGACACGCTATATAACAAGAACACTTACAGCAATAACTGAAAATGAGGGTACTTTCCCCAAGGAAAGGACGATGGAATTTAAAACAGTCATGTGAGGAGTTAAAGCAAGCATTGGAACAATGATACATAAAGTCAAAATCATGAGAAGAGCATTAAGCATCTTTCATTGGCTCTCTGATATTTAGAAATCCTGGCTAACTTTGAAGAATTTGTTTTCTTTATCTACAATAGAAATGATAATTACTGGTCTCTTTACCGTTAACAGAGCATCAGAAGACTCAAATAATGGGAAATACAAGAAGAAACTTCATAAGACATGCAACACAACACAAAGGTGATGCAACATCTTCAATATTTTGAGCAAAGAAAGAAGAAAACTAGAAATTTGACAACAGATTGATTTTTTAAAGCAAGTAAGTGGGAACATATTTATTTTTGCTTCCTTGAATATTAAAAGGGAACATGAAAGATCAAGCCTGGGATAATTTTTTAAGAGGCAATGTTTATACAAAACTGTACTTCTCTACTTAATGGACTATAAAACCAAAGTTTCCCCCACAAATGGGGATAAGATAATTACTCCTAATGGAATCTATATAACCATGGGCATACGCTGGACAGCTTAATGAGAACAAGAGTTAAACTAGACTCTATGATCGATCTAAGTCCTTAGAGGAGTATTCTGGAGGGTGATCTGCTCCATTGGCTTCAAGGCAACAAGAGACAAGATGGTTCGACTACAAGCCTGTGTCATCTCCCTAAGTCAAGATAAACACCCACAGTACCCTGTGGGGAGGTTTAGTGGTCAGGTCTATAGCAGAAGCCTTTAACTGTTTGTTGTGGACATGGAGGCTTTGTACATTTCAGAAGGCATCATAGCAGTCTTGAGACTTCTGGTTGCAAGGCCAAGGGATGAGTCTATGATTCTTTGATAATTACTCCCCCAGTATTAACTTAGCTGAAAATACAGATAATGAAACAACTGAGATCTTACTGAATTCCTTCCAATGAGCTGGAGTTGTGTCATTAGGGAACAAAGGAAGGTATGGGTTTTTCCACTTACCCATAAAATAGGAAGTTGGTTTTTCAACTTAGTTACATTTTCTAGTAGCCCTCCTAGCTGCGGTACCACTCATGGCCATGATAATAATGATTTTGCTGCTTTTTTGGAAGTGTTGGGACTAGAGACATAATGCTTCTACTGTTAGCTACAAGATCCAAAGCTGTGCATGCTCTTTCCTGCCCTCATATGTAACTCCTCACTATTTATATTTTCTCTAGATTTTCACAGACACTTTGAACTACATAATCTTCACCATTAATGTTCTACAGCTTTGTAAACATTACTAGTGTGAAGACTTGCAGAGGGCTGAGTTGAGATACTAGAACACTAATGTACCTAAATCTAATAGTTACCTGCATGATAACAGTACCATGTTTGTATGCTAGTTGGACCAGAATTGAGGAGTACCTCAGTCACAATACTCCTAGCCCCTGTGTTTCTGTATGTTGGGTTCATAGTGAAAACACCCAAGACACATTTTCTTGCAAAATCTGTAGTATTATCATCCCAGTGTTAGGAGTGTAGGAGAAGACGTGGTGCATGGAATGAATACACACTGATCCATCCATTTATTCATTACACAGGAACATATATGAGAATGTCTGACGACTAAGCCCAGTCTTTACTGGCAGTACACAAACAGATTGATACAACAATGATGTATTTAATAATATGTGACATAAAAGTATATAGTAACTTTGGATGTATAACATCTACACCCATATTGTGGACCGCTTTGACCTGATTTAACATGTCAGACATTAAATGTATTATCAGGCACTCTGATCAGGGTGTATTCTACTATCTTTATTCAGACTACCTTGAAGCACATCCTGTGGCCCATTCACCACTCTGGACTCTAATAAAATCAGAGAAAGGAAAACACAGTAATAATAACACAAACAATAAATAGCACTCAGGGAAGTGCAACAGTTTGAATGATGAATGTATTTATAGCCCACAAAAAGCAAAAAGGCCATCTTTAAGATGTGGCTGTGAAATGCTATCCTGAAAGTCACCATAAAGACAAAGAAAAGAAAAGGCACAACAAAAAAAAATAAAAAAATAATCTTTCTATGAAACAGTGTCCCATGGTCCCCCGAAAAAAGGAAAAAAATACCATGGGACATAAACAGACAACTGAGCTGGGCATTGGTGGTGCACACACCTTTAATGCCAGCACTGGGGAGGCAGAGGCAGGCGGATCATTGTGAGTCTGAGGCCAGCCTGGTCTACAGAGCAAGTTCGAGGACAGTCTCCAAAACAAAACAGAGAAACCCTGTCTCAAAAAACAAACAAATAAATAAATAAATAAAATGAAATAAAAAATAAACAGACAACTGGCTTGGCAGCCCATGTAGTGAAAAGAAAACTCAAGAATCTCACGCCGTATGCAGGACAGCACATTATTATGGCCCAAGAAGGCTTCTTGGGGCTCCCATACAGAAGAAATGACTGACAGTTGAAAGCTGTCAAGTTTGCACTATGTGCCCAGCACTGATCTAAGCACTTGTACTTAGTACCTTAGCAATCCTTAGCAATCTGCTGTAGCATTTAGGAAAGGAATTATTACACACTGATATTTCAATAGCTAAATTAAATGGAAATTTAATTAATATGTCTATTTTTCCTCTCTTTTATTGATTCTTTATTGTAATAAAAAATTTATAAAATTTTTTTCACATGTTACCCCAGCTCCCTCTCCTCCTCCACCTCACCTAGACCCCAAACCCATCCCCCCTCTGCTCCCCAGGGAGTCTGGGCCCTTCATGGGGTATCTCCAGAGTCTATAATATCATCCCGGGCAGGGCCTAGGCCCTCCCCTATGTGTCCAGGCTGAGAGAGCATCTCTCCATGTGGAATGGGTTCCCAAAGTTCATTTGTATGCCAGGGATAAATACTGATCTACTATCTGAGGTCCCATAGATGGTTGAGTCCTCCTCACTCACACCCAGGTTCAGGGGGTCTGAATCAGTCCCATGCTGGCCTCTCAGTCACCAGTCTGGGGTCCATGAGTTTCACCTTATAAGGTGTAAAATATGGCTGTGGAAGCTTGATTTCGACCTCAAAGTCTAATGTTTAACCATTCTTGTTCTTTTTTTCCTTTTTATTTAAATTAGAAACAATCTTATTTTATATATCAATACCAGTTCCGTCTTCCATCCATCCTCCCATGCCACCCACCCACCCTCCATACCATCTCTCTTCTGCTCCCCAGGGACAGTAAAGCCCTTTATGGGGATCATCAAAGGCTGTCACATCATTTGGAGCAGGGCCTAGGTTCTCCCCCATATATCTAGGCTGAGAGAGTATCCCTCTATGCGGAATGGGCTACAAAATCCATTCCTACAATAGCAGTAAACACTGATCCACTACCAGAGGCCCCATAGAATGCCCAGGATTCTTAATTGACACCCACGTTCAGCCAGCCTGGTTCCTTTCTATGCTGGTTTCCCAGCTACCAGTCTGGGGTCCATGAGCTTCCCCTTGTTCAGGTCAGCTGTTTCTGTGGATTTCTCCAGCCTGGTCTTGACCACTTTGCTCATCACTCCTCCCTCGCTGCAACTGGATTCCAGGAGTTCGGCTCCGTGTTTAGCTGTTTCCATCAGCTACTGTATGAAGGCTCTAGGATGGCATATAAGGTAGTCATCAGTCTCATTATCAGAGAAGGGTATTTAAGGTAGCCTCTCTACTATTGTTTAGATTGTTAGTTGGGGTCATCATTGTGGACCTCTGGGCATTTCCCTAGTGCCAGATTTCTCTTTCCTATAATGGCTCCCCCATTAAGGTATCTCCTTTTCCTGCTCTCCTCTATTCTTCCCCTGACTCAATCTTCCTGCTCCCTCATGTCCTCCCTGGCTTCTTTTTCTCCCCTTCTCAATCTCCTTCTCACTTCCCTCCATGCTGCCAATTTGGTCATACATCTGTATTAACAGTATATTCCAGTTCGGAACAAGTCTTTCATCGTGGCCACATGCAAACCTTCCATTTGCCAATCATAAACCATCTATTACCATATAGGCTCCAGACAAAATGACCCAAATTCATACCTCTAAGACCTGGTTCCAGCAATAATACCAAAGTCTATTCTAATGGTTGAGGCTGTCTCACACACACATAGTGTTACCATAGTTGGTAAATCACAGACTTCACACAGAATACAAATGCAGAAAGTATTAGATAACAAATGAAAGGAGGAGGTTGTGAGATTTGTGGGGGACACATATAATGTCACACTGCATATCCAGCACACTTTTATTGTTACCCCTTAAATATGGATACCCAACTGAGGCTTTTCTAGAAGCTTAGAGACGGGTTAAGAAATGAAAGCTAGACTCACATACAAAAAAAAAAAACAACACAAACAAACAAACAAAAACGCACAAACATTATTCTGTTGGGGTTCACATCGGATATCGTTCCATGTTCTTTGTCAATGGTGACACCTTTAGTCTGGCTGACATGTAAATATGTAAGTCCTTTGTCCTACCATCTTTCCTCCCCTGCTCTTTGATGCAGGTCCTAGACTCTTAGCTTTAGAGACTGTCTTGCCGATGTTTCAAACGCAGTTGTCTGCTGTCCTCTGCATTCTTGACCAGCTGTGAGTTTCTGTGATACTCTTCATCTGCAAGAGAGCAGTTTCTCTGATGAACGGTAGAGCTGAACTTACCTGTGTGTATGAAGATAAAATACTGAGAACGCCTTGGAAGTTATTCTGGTTTATGAAAATGACTGTTGTGATTTCACTACTAGGGTCCATGACCCTATCAGCCACCCATAGTTGGCTAGGTTTACAATACCAGACATGAATCCCCCGTTTTATAAAAGTCCTTTAGTCCAATTAGACAGATCTTGTTAGATTACTCCTGAAGTGTAAGCGCCACTATTACACCAGTAGAGGCATTTTTCCAGGCTGGTCAGTCTTGGGGTTCTAGCCAGAAGCCCAGAACATTGGCTATGAGATATCGTGTTCTCAGCATTTGACAGTATGTGGCACCATGACGTCCCAACAATTGGAATCAGCCAAACAAGACCAGCAAACTGATAACGTCAGCTGACGTCTTCATGTGGGTGACAGAGATCTCACAAGGTCCTATCCCTAGATAAAGAGCATAGGCAATCAATGGCTTCTGAGAGAGGGAGAGACATTTTTCTCTAGGGATGAAAGCCCTGATAGGTTTAGATTATCTAATCTCAAGTGGTTAGCACTGCAATACTAAGTGGATTCAGGTGTGTGTGTGTGGTGTGTGCGTGTGTGTATGTATGTGTGTGTCTGTTCAACAACAATTGTTATAGAAGTCATGAACTTGAGGACTGTGGCGGGGGAAGGTCACAGGAGGAGATGGAGTGAAGTAAGAAGGATGGGGCTGATGAAAATACTATATAATATTCAAAAAACAATTCACTTGCGTTTTGTCTTCAATATTTTAGGTGGACACAGACTTTTTTAGCTAACATGATTTAGTAGATAGCTATTATCCATTCAGATACACTGAATCACAGAATATTCCCACTGGAGAGCAATTAATGATGGCATCCCTTTGTTGGTTTGAGAGTCATCCTTTCCCTTTGGAAGATGAAACGATCTCTTTGTTAGCTGCCACTTGTGATCCATGCAGTGCTCCCTGGGCTCTGGTGTCAGTGAGGGTGCTGCGCCTGCCTCCTGGCTCCTCCACCCACTCAGCTGCAGTTCTCATTGGGACATAAGATGCTTACTTCAACCTTAAATGTGTGCCACCTTAGACTCAACCTAAAGTACGCCCTTTTCTTCTGGGTTTCTAAGATATTTTTCTGTGCGTATTAGGCTTCTGACCTTATGGTAAACAGTTAGCTGGTGTAAGGAAACAAAGGTTGCTGCCCAGCAGCCAGGAAAGAGAAAAGTCCAGTTCATTGTAACACTCTTCCCAAGTAGCTCCCAGGGTCCAAACTGAATGGATATAATTTTGTAGCTACTAATTTTCCAAGTAATTCAAAAGAAGTACTGAGGAATAAAATGTAGGTGGACAAAGAAAGAGCCTTTTAATGCATTTTGCAATTTATGCAAATCTATACCACTGCAGTTTGCCATTTAGGAAATTACCTTAAACCATTTTCCATTCACCCACTGTTAACCTAGCTTGACAAATGTCCACCAACTCCCCTATGGCTAGGGCAGTACAAACCACATTTATCCCACCAGCTGGATTTTATTTTACTAAAAGACTCCTGCCACCCCTGATGGCTGTCAGTTGCGACTTTTGTGGTTGTGAAAAACCATTGAAACAAGTGCCCAGAAACTAACCTCTCCAGTCTCCTTCCAGAGACTTTCAGGAACAATTGAAAACAAAGTCTATAGATACGTAGTGTTTTCTTTTCATCACATTCTTTGTTTTCATGCAACCATGAGTATAAATGTGTATAGTTTAGGGCCAGACTAACAAGAATCTGTGCAGAGGCACAAATCTTCCCAGTGATGGATGGACAGGCTGCTACCTGCCTATGTCTGTCTCTCTCTCCTCCCTGAGTCTGCCTCCAGAGCAAGGAGCTGATTTTCTTTCAAAACCCACCTGAAAACAGAAAAATAGAAATAAAGCAAAGCAAAACAAAACAAAACAAAAACAAACAGCCCTCTGCAAGGGAGGGGGTGATCTGGGACTGCCCTTTCTCACATCGTGCCTTGTTCCCAGGGGAACCATTTTCTCTTGTGTCTGCAGGAACAAAGCAGTTTCCATCATGTGTGTAAGAGTATACTGTTGTGAGGTTTTCTGTGTATTCACCCTTTATTCAGGGGAAGTTTTGAATCTGAACTTCATTCAGCAACAGATTTTGATGTTACAGAAACATTTTCTGTTTGCTAAGTCACAGTAAGTCTCCGAGGACAAGGAGCATATAATCACATATATAATCACATCATCTGAAAGTACGTAAGAACGGTACACAAAAGGAAGAAGCCATTCAGGGACTCAGAGAAAGAAGCAGCATGGTTTTCCTCTAACATTTACACACACACACACACACACACAAATATGGACAAGCACTTTCTTAGTGTAAGGCTCCCTACACACTATACAATATGAAGATAACCTTAAAATTCAGATCATTCTGGACTTAAATCCTCATATTTCTCTATTACCTTGAGAAGAAATACCTTATGCCTTTCATTGATTTTGAACAAAAATACTGGCTATTTCATGAAGTCTACCTTCTTAGAACCAGAGAATCAATCTCAAACTGACCCTACCATTTATGTAACCATCGGTTTTACACACACACGCGCGCGTGCACACACACACACACGCACACACATGAGAGAGAGAGAGGTAGGGAGAAGGGAGGGAGAGAGACTCCAAAACCAATTTGCCTTAAAGAAATACTTCTTTTGTTTTTTGCAATGTTTTTCCTTCTTTCTGATATGAAACCCTATGAATACCACTATAATCCACTGAACCATCCAGGAAGCTCAGAACTGTAGTCCTCAAGATAGAGGCCGGTAAGGACCAACAATGGATTTACCTCTCTTAAGTGATTATTAAATCATGGGCACCAAGGATCTTAAAGTCATAAGACAGTTGAGTAGCAGAAGGATGGCCCTCTGCCTTCCCTGTCTACCTTGCTTTCTTTACATGAAGGAAATAACTACTTCGTTGTATTTTTGTAAATACCACCCAACAACCCATGAAACATGCATCTCCTTGTCCATCCTCAAGACTGCTCTGGTGGCTGATGTCCTGGGCACTTGATCAAAGAGTGGTTTCTTCTGTATTCCTTATTTTCCTGAATCTCTGGTGTGCCTATCATTCAACCAACACACTGTATAATTAAAGCGTTGTCTTCTCTGGGAAGACAGGACAGCCCAACAGCAGTAAAGCTCCTATTATAGACTTTTTTCATGCCTGTTCTGCCTCTGTTGTTACTTTTTAATCATCACTCCCACCAGGCATTGTCTGCCTGTTGAGACAGTAGCTAAATGAGTTGAGAATTCTATCAGGCTTACATCAGCAGTGGGTGCTCCACACATTACCAATTCATTAGAAAAAGAAACTAAAAAGAAATAAAAAGTTTTCTCTTTCACTTTGAACAGATCATGGACGTCACTCTATAACAAGGAAAGTTCATGTTCAATCACTATAGACACACACAGCGCCAGGCTGGGTAGGCCTGCTGTCTGTTTACACAACACAAAGCAGTCTTCATTAAAATGTAGCCTGTTATTTCATTCCCAATCTCCATTATAGCTCCTAGAATTCAGATGTTTCAATATTAACTAAGGACAAAGTGTGTAGAAAACAGGTGAAACAAAATCAAATCGCCATGAGCGTTCCTATATGTCATAGACATCACGCACATGGCTAACAACAGCTGATTTTAGCTCCTAAGTACATATGTATAGTTAAGGCTATCATTTAAAGTATTTTATTGGAATACTTACTGATTTCTGTGTTGATTCAGAAAAACACAATTGGAGGAAATATCCTCAACTCATGGCCACCAGATACCGTACTTTTGCCTAACACCATAATTTACATTTAGTCATGCTCAGAATAAAAATAATTACATAACCTTTTGTTTAAAGTTGTCACAAAGATGAGATTTAAATACACTTATATATGTAAGTAGTCCCGTAACAGAAAAATTTTTTGTGGGTGCCCATATCTATATGTTATCATATATCACTTTTGCTGTATTAGTGCAAATAAACACTAATGTGCCTATTTCTGTGACTCAACTGGCTGCTTGTGACAACTTCACCCATCAGCTACAAATATCAAGGAAAAAACTTAAAATTTAAGGTTGTTTATTTTAAGATTGATTTACTTTATTATTTCATGTGCACATGTTTTGCCTGCCTGAATGTCTGTGTACCATATCTACACCTGGTGTCTGCGGAGGTTAGAAGAGGACTTAAGAGTCCTTGGAAGTAAACCTACTAGTTGTGAGTCACCATGTGGTTTCTGGAAATTGAACTTCTGTCCTCTGTAAAGTAACAAGTGCTCTTAACCACTGAGCCAACTCTACAGTCCCTCCTAGATCATTCTTATTTACCAAACATTCTTTCCTTCAGTTCATTTGAGAGTGAAACTAAGCACGTATGTTTTTTGAAAATATAGGTATTTTGCAATGTTTTTAATCTGGTCACCCTTTAAAGGAAATTTATTTTCCTTTCTACAATATGTAGATAAAGCCCTCAAAAGTGGCAAATATTTTTTGCACATTATATGTAGCATACTTCTATATAACAATGCTATTAAAATTGTCATAGTTGATGACCCAATAAACTAAATATATATATATATACATGTATATATCATATAAGGCATCCTTAGTTCCCAGACCAACTCCTCTCTTGCCTCTTTCATTATTTGTTTTTAAATGGCAATCGGTTCTTAAAGGTATCTTTGTGAAGAATTCAGATACATAGTTTTTTGAGTACAGCAAAATTTGTGCTTATTCCCACCAGTAGTGACTTACAGAACCAGCCATTAATTCAAAAAGTCATCAACCACTAGAAATATTTTGAGATCTTCTTAGAGAAGTACATTCTGAGAGGTAGCCAGTGGAAATATGGAAGTTTAATTTTTAGAATTGATAGCTCTGAGTTTCAGTTCTAGCTTCATGATTTTGGGGCCTTTGTGGAAAATGGCAGAATGACCCATCTCCATTGTTGATTTGTGATTCCAAGTTCATGATAGTATCGTCTCACTCCACATTAAGGCAACCATCACAGAAGTTAGAGGAACACCAACTATAGAACACATTGACTAACCAAACACATGCATGGTGAATATCTTGTATACAATGCCCATCCACTCAAAATGATTGATTTTCCCTGGGAAAGATAAAATTAACACATGGCCTCCGAGAAGGAGAATGTCACATGGAAGTCTGGAAAATAATTCCAAATGTGAAGATGCAGAATTATTTGTGATAAGTTAATCTTTAAGACTATATTATATTGGCTATTGGGAGTCTTAGCATCATTAATGTGGCCATATTGGCTCACATTTGGGAAAGTTTCATTTTTTACTCTGTATCTCAATAACAATTCATAGAGGAAAGGTTGCAACTGTGGCATATCCACCCCCACTGAAAATAACAAGAGTCATAACTCAACATTCAGGGGTTTACATGAAGCTTCCCACAAAGGCTTTGTGTCACCCAGGTATAAACAAAGTATTTGGAAAAGGCTTGTAATGGCACACAGACTGAGCTTTTCCTAAGTATTTCTTATGCTGAAAATAGTAACACGTGGTAATCACATTTTTGGGATAAAGTCTGTGGGACAAAAAGGATAATGCATAAAATTAAGGATCAAAGAGAATGATGAACATTGCCACAAATATTAATATGCTACAGCCAAGTAAAGAGAAAATTCATAGAGCTTGAGAAACTTCTAGCTCAACTTCAACAAAAGACTAAGTAGGTAGGTAAATACATACATAAATGCATATATGCATACATACATACATAGATACTATACATGGTATATATACATATATATGTCTGTATATATGTATATATATGTATATAAAATCCACAATAAATAAAGAACTGATAATCTGAAAATTAAACACAATAAAACAAAGTTACCAAACAATAAATGTGGTCATATACTCAAAAGACAAGATACAAATGACCACAAGGTTGAAAATAATTTTCCTTCTGCACAATAGTGAGACACGGAACCCACCTAGCTGTCCATCAAATGATTACCAGACAAGGGCTGTGTGCACCAGCCAGGCCAGGTGGCACACTCCTGTCATCCCAGAACAGGGGAGCCTAAAACATGATGGAGAGGCACGCTTGAGCTATACAGCCAATTCTAAGGTTGGACTGCAAGTACAAAGACCCTGCCTCAAATAAACAACTGCAACCCAAATCTATTTTTAAACATGAAAAGCTAGTATTCATAAATGAAATCTGCTTATGAGATTTTGTGTCATAACTTGTCTTAAGATTCCTGCTGTGTATGTGCAATGACGAGTTTATCTTCTGAGAAGGTCAACAGAGTATACTCACCCGAAGCAAATGGAAGTAATATATTGAAATCACAAGTTTAATGACCTTGGCTATAATGGGATTAATATTAGTGTGAAATATCTTAACCTTACCATTTTGGGTCTAATTACCAATGAGTGTGTGTATGAAAATCACACTTAATTATATTTATAAAAGCAGAGGACTAGAGTAAGACATTAGATAGTGTCCTTTGCTATTGGAAGGGAAAGCACCTGTCAGGACAGGAGGAAGGGCATTGCATTCTCTCACCTGCTCCATGCTTCTGTAGAGCTTGATATCATGTCCATCTTCTGAAATAGACTTCATGTTCATTTTAATCCTCCAGCTTCTTCTAGGACTCTGTCAAAAACAACTAGTAGTCATCTCTACCCCCATATCACATTCCTGACTTCACTGGAAGAGTAAAAGAAATGCCTGTTGAGAAGATTATCGTGAGCCTGAGCTGCTAGCTGTATCCACACTCTCCCATAGCCACCCTCATTTATCCAGAATCTTGGCTATGGCCATCAATCTAGGTACAATCTGCATTCAGCCTTTTTCAATTCCAAACCTTCTCTACTTCCAAGGGTTCCGAAGCCCAGAACGTGTTTGTTCTTCCATGAGGATACAATTGAAAGCCTGCAAACGTGTCTTCATGACACGTTAAGTAGGATGTGCTGAAAATGCTTTATCCAACTATCTTCAAGGCATGCACAAGGCATATACAAATCCATAAATAAGTATCACGCCCACATTTAGTCCTGTATTCACTATGTATATATTTAAAAACTCTGCTATGTAAAAAACATTCCTACTGTCAGGGACCTAGATGCACAGCCCTTGGCCTGAAATGGCAAAGCAATTGACAGATTCCCAGTTTCCTGGTTTGTGAAATAAATTCTTCTCACCAGCCACCTGGGTTCTATCACTGCTTTAACCCCCAAATAACACACAAGACACTATATTAATTATGAAGCTGTTGGCCATTTGCTTTGTTTGTCATTGGCTTGCTCTGACTTAATTATTAACCTATAATTACTAATATATATTGTTATGAGGTCTAATCTTACCAAGGACTCAGCCTCATGGGTCTTCTCCCCACGGTAACATGGCGACGACTCTCTTCACTACATTTCCCAGAATCCTCTGAGACCCCCTAGTCCCACCTATCTTGCTTCCCTATTGGGCAATGGTGCTTTATTCATCAGCATAAACACAGAGGGACTTCCCCCATGACTGGTTCTCTTTACAGCAAACATTGGTGGCCAGTTTTGCCATTTGTTTGCTATTTTTTATTTGCAAATGTTTATTTGAAATAGGGTCTTGTTATGTATCCCATGCCAGCAGGGAGCTCATAGTTTTCCTTGTCTCTCCAGAACTGGCATCACACAACAGGCACCGTTTTCTTATTTTAAGCCTTCTGCCTCACTCCACATTTGCCCTGTGTTCAGTTTACGTCTTTAGTCTAACATTTGGGAATTAACGTCCTGCAGAATTTTGTTCTTTCTATCATTTTGTGGAAACCACATTCGAACCACAATTCCAGTTTTCACCACTAAATGCTGCCAGTCTCTACCCTACCATCTCCTGAATATTTTCATTCAGTTTTCCCATAGTCACACTAAACTCAATTACTTCCTTACTGAAACTCACTCTGCTAAGTGCTAAAATTTGATTGTTACCCAGATACATTGATTTTTATTTTTATTTATTTATTTATTTATTTATTTATTTATTTATTTATTTTTTGTCTCATTCAAGTCTTTACTAGATTGGATGAGGACCACTCACACTGGAAGAGATGTTCTATTCAGCATACTGAGTACTGATTCAAGTGCTAATCTCATCCAGATCCTTAGCCTTTATGCCTTCAGGTTCTTTTTTTTTTTAATTTTAAATAGCTTGTTTTACATGTCAATCCCAGTTCCCTCTCCCTCCCCTCCTCCCACACTCCCCTTCCCCCCCACCCTCCCACCCTATTGCCAAATCCATCCACATAGTGGATATCAGAGTCTGTCATTTTACACTGGGTAGGGTCCAGGCACTCCCCTAAGAGTCCAGGCTGAGAGAGCATCCCTCTTTGTGCTATAGGCACACAAAGACTGTTTGTATATCAGGGATAGACACTGATCCACAGCTCAGGGCCCCATAGGTTGCCCAGGCCTTCTCGCTGACACTCACATTTGGGAGTCCAGATCAGTCCCATGCTGGCCTCCCCACTGTCAGTCTGGGGTCCAAGAGCTCTCCCCTGTTCAAATCAGCTGTCTCTGCTGGTTTTGCCAGCCCATTCTTTGCCAATTTGCTCATCACTCCTCTCTCTCTGTCACTGGGTTCCTTGGGTTCAGTTCAGTGATTAATTGTGTGTTTTCCTCTGCTTCCATCAGTCACAGGATGAAGGCTCCTGGATGGTTATAGACATCAAGTTCATTATCAGGAATGGGCATTCGAGGTGGTCTCTCCACTATTGCTTAGCTTGCCAATTGGTGTTATCCCTTTAGATCACTCGAGGTCGCTCTGGTGCCTGATCTGTATTCGATCCTATGATTCCCTCTTCCCCCAATTCTACCCCCACCTACACAACTTCCTTTTCCCCCATGACCAACTCTCTTCCTCTTCACCCCCTCTCTTCTTCCCAGGTCCCACTCCTCCCCACCCCTTGCCTTGTTCCCCATCCATTCATGGGATCTTGTCTCCATCCTCTTCTCTTGGGTACTATGCATATATGCATATCTTTTAGGTTCTTTCCTGTTTCCCAGACTCTCTATCAGTGGAAGTGCAGACTGGCACTATCCTGATCCATGTCTAAAATCCATATATGAGTGAGTACATACCATGTTTGTCTTTTTGCGACTGGGTTACCTCACTCAGGATGGTTTCTTCCAGTGCTATCCATTTCCCTGCGAATTTCAAGATTCCATTGTTTTTTTCTGCTGAGTAATACTCCATTGTGTAAATGTACCACATTTTCTCTATCCACTCTTCAGTTGAGGGGCATCTAGGTTGCTTCCAGGTTCTGGCTATTACAAATAATGCTGCTATGAACATAGTGGAGCAGATGCCCTTGTTGTATGAACTTGCCTCATTTGGATATATGCCTAAGAGTGGAATTGCTGGGTATAGTGGTAGATTAATTCCCATTTTCCTGAGGAATCTCCATACTGATTTCCAAAGAGGCTGTATGAGTCAGCACTCCCACCAGCAGTGAAGGAGTGTTCCTCTCTCTCCACATCCTCTCCAGCATAAATTGTCTTCGGTGTTTTTGATTTTAGCCATTCTGTCAGGAGTAAGATGGTATCTCAGAGTTGTTTTGATTTGCATTTCCCTGATGGCTAAGGATGTTGAGCACTTTCTTAAGTGTCTCTTGGCCATTTTAGCCTCCTCTACTGAGAATTCTCTATTTAGCTCTGTACCCCACCTTTTAATTGGATCCTTTGGTGTTTTGGAGACTTGTTTCTTGAGTTCTTTGTAAATTTTGGAGATTAGCCCTCTGTCAGATGTAGGGTTAGTGAATATCTTTTCCCATTCTGTGGCCTGCCTTTTTGTCTTTTTGACTGTGTCCTTTGCCTTACAGAAGCTTTTTAGTTTCAGAAGGTCCCATTTGTTAATTGTGGATCTCAGTGCCTGTGAAACTGGTGTTATGTTTAGGAAGTGGTCTCCTGTACCAACTCGTTGAAGAGTATCTCCCACTTTCTCTTCTAAAAGTTTCAGTGTGGCTGGATTTATGTTGACATCTTTGATCCATTTGGACTTAAGTTTTGTACAAGGCGATAAACATGGATCTATCTGCAGTCTTCTGCATACCAATATCCAGTTATGCCAGCACCATTTGTTGAAGATGCTTTCTTTTTTCCATTGTACAGTTTTAGCTTCTTTGTCAAAAATAAGGTGTTCATAGGTGTGTGGGTTAAAATTAGAGCTTTCGATTCGGTTCCATTGGTCTACCTGCCTATTTTTGTGCCAATACCAAGCTGTTTTCAGGACTATAGCTCTATAATAGAGCTTGAAGTCAGGTATGGTGATGCCTCCTGAAGTTCCTTTATTGTATAGGGATGTTTTAGCTCTCCTGGGCCTTTTGTTTTTCCATATAAAGTTGATTAATGTTCTTTCCAGGTCTGAAATCAATCAAGTAGAAACCAGAAAACCACTGAGAAGAATCAATGAAACAAAGAGTTGGTTCTTTGAGAAAATCAACAAAATAGATAAACCTCTGTCCAAACTAACCAAAAGACAGAGGGAGAGCATGCTAATTAACAAAATCAGGGATGAAAAAGGGGACATAACAACAGACTCTGAGGAAATCCAGAGAATCATCAGGGCATACTTTGAAAATCTGTACTCCACAAAATTTGAAAATTCAAAGGAAATGGACAATTTCCTGGATAGATATCACTTGCCAAAACTAAATCAAGAACTAATCAAGAACTAATGAAATAGAAGCAGTCATCAAAAGTCTGCCAAATAAAAAAAGCCCAGGCCCAGATGGCTTCAGTGCAGAATTCTACCAGAAATTCAAAGAAGAGCTAATTCCAATACTCCTCAAAGTATTCCAACAATAGAAGCAGGAGGCTCACTGCCAAACTCTTTCTACGAGGCTACAATTACCTTGATACCCAAGCCACACAAAGACACAACTAAGAAAGATAACTATAGACCAATTTCCCTCATGAACATTGATGCAAAAATACTCAATAAAATACTCGCAAACCGGATTCAAGAACACATCAGAAAAATCATCCACCATGATCAAGTAGGCTTCATCCCAGGAATGCTGGGATGGTTCAACATTAGAAAATCTAGCAATGTAATCCACCATATTAACAATCTGCGAAAGAAAAACCACATGATCATCACACTAGATGCTGAAAAAGCCTTTGACAAAATCCAGCACCCCTTCGTGATAAAGGTCCTAGAGAGATCAGGGATAACAGGAATGTACCTGAATATAATAAAAGCAATATACAGTAAACCAACAGCTAACATCAAACTAAATGGAGAGAAACTCAAAGCAATTCCTCTAAAATCAGGAACAAGACAAGGCTGTCCACTCTCTCCATATCTCTTCAATATTGTACTTGAAGTTCTAGCTACAGCAATAAGACAACAGAAGGAGATAAAGGGGATACAAATAGGAAAAGAAGAAGTCAAACTTTCACTATTTGCAGATGATATGATAGTTTACATAAGTGACCCAAAAAACTCCGCAAATTTACTCCTAGAGCTGATAAACACCTTCAGCAATGTGGCAGGATACAAGGTAAACTCAAAAAAATCAGTGGCCCTATTATATATAGATGATGAACTGACTGAGAAAGAAATCAGAGAAACATCACCCTTTACAATAACCAAAAACAGCATCAAATATCTGGGGATAATGTTAACCAAGGAAATTAAAGACCTGTATATCAAGAACTTTGTGTCTTTAAAGAAAGAAATCAAAGAAGATACCAGAAAATGGAAAGATCTCCCATGCTCTTGGATTGGTAGGATCAACATAATAAAAATGGCAATCTTGCCAAAAGCAGTCTACAGATTCAATGCAATCCCTATCAAAATTCCATCAGATACATTGATTTTTAAAGGATGTGTCAGTTCCATTTTCAGTCATGGCTATCCACATGTTTTACCCCATTCTCGTCCAAATATTCAGTCTTCAAATCACACTTGAAATTGTTCTTGCTTTGCTGGTCCACAAGCACATTCGTTGTCTGGAATTCACTGTAGCTGGCTGGGACTTCTGGGCTAATTTACAAGGACTGCCTAATTAACTCTGGACATTCACTCTCTATACTACTGCTAAGGGTCTCTTTCAGATTCTTGCCCAGTTGATCTTTGTCTGGAGCTTAAAATAATCTCAGAGCACGTAGCAAAGGAAATTATGGAGGACCAAGTGAGCATGCATGCTTTCACTTGCCTTACAATACTCTCTTCTATCTCTGCTGGCCTGACCTACATCGCAGTTTCAGACTCTTACCACCAAAACCCACTCCACAACATGTTCATCTTGGCATCATAATGACACCTCTTGCCTAACTATTACCGCCGAGAGTTGAAGAAAGTAAAAATGTATAAAAGCAATAACTCTGTAGGGCTAAACTAATCTTCTACTAATTCTG